AATAAAAATAGTCCTTCGTAACATATAAATCTTTATAAATATAATGTTAAGTTAGTTTGCGTACCTACGCTTCAAAAACTCAAAATGCCCTGCACTGATTGAGCTCAAATTTTGACACAATATACAACACGCTTCAGATATGATTTTTATCTATTTTTGTAACCACAATGCTCAACGGTCAGGCAGGGTACAGCTATTATTTCATAGATTTAAATAACGAAAGTAATGGATTCAATTTATTTTATTTAACCGGCTTCAAAAACACAAAAGAGAAGATTATCAATTCGTCTGTAGGTATTGTGATTGTATGATATTCATACAATCAAACAGTTTTGAGGTAATAATACATCAAAACTGTTTTATTTGTATTTTTGTTATATTTCATTTGTAAGTTTTGTATTCCGATTATAAAAATTATTGTTTTATTTGGAAGGGTATATTTTCCCTTTAGCTCCAATCAAATGTAAAGAAAAAATACCACATCTAGTTTTGGAAAATTAAGTTATATGGCAAACAATACATTTTCGGATTGAAAATACTATGTACCTTATCTAAATAAAGTAACGGACTTATTGAACTGTATTCAATATAATATAACATACTACAGTTTGGCACTATATATCACGGGACGTAGTGTTTTAAATATCGTACTCTTCTATTCATTACAAACATATCTTACACTAAAAATGGTAAAAAAAATACTTTAAAAAACTTTAATACTGACAAAGAGCACCAAAAATTTAAAAATTATTACAAATCTAAGTAAAAAAAACTATAATAGGTACCTTCAATATAACAGGTAACATCATAATAGCAATAGTCCCTTACTCAAAATGAGAGATCGAGCCTGGGAAATGTGCGGTGTCCTTAGAGGAGGATAGGCAATTCTGAAATATCTCTAACCAAATTGTAGGAAAAATTTGTTTTGGAATTGAGAAAGAAAAATATTTACTAAACTCGCCGCGATACGTTTTACTACACTCTTTACTAAAAAATAATGTATTAGAAAAAAATTACTATTGTATTAAAGTTCATGTAACGCACTCCAAAGCCGTTAATTAATGTTTGCAATGCACAGTATAGTTTAAATTAAACTCGGATAGTTTAAAGCTAACTAAAAATTAAATACAAATTGAGGGACTAAAAGTTTATTTGTAGAATTTGTAAAAAATCCACAAGAAATATAACAAATATCTAGATGAGTGAGCAAATATTTCTTATATTTCTTACTGAAACTTAAAGCACTTTGCCAAATATTTTTTGTCTTTCATAAAAACATTCATTCAATTTATGACTTTTTATATAAAAAAAAAATTGTAAAATTAAGCCGTTGTTTATCGTTCATCGCACTTAAAAGGTGTAATAAAATTATAAAAGATTCTCAAACTTAATGAACACTTTCAATAAAACTAATATTACCTTTTAAAGACCTCGGCTTTGCTTGTTTTCTTCGAGACATGATCCCCAAAGTAATGCACCACACAGGGTTTATTCCATTTCACGATTTATAATCACTTGGTACTGTTCAACACAATAGAATTGGTATCTTTTGAAGTAGCCGTAAAGTTTATCGTAAAAGTATCACGTGTGTCGTGGACAGACGACGCGAGACACGTGGCCGAACGCGCGGCTCACCCCGCGCTTACTGAGCTTAGTGGCGCCCAACAAGTGGCAATAACAATATTGTAACCTTACGCGCAAACTCATAAGACAGCACCAGCTTAATAAATCCTAGCTTTCTTAGATCTCCTTATGTTGATCGTAGCGATTAAACTGATGTAGTAATCGTTTTCATGGTTTTTTATTTGAAACAAATTGGAACACTATTCAATGATTTCGAAACGGTTATGTAAGGTAATTGCGAGTTCAATCCCAATTAATACACCACCGATGTGCATCCTTTAACGTGGCAAGCTTTATTGCAGAGATAGTAATACTAAGACTAATTAATTATGAATAATAATAACTTCATAATTCCCACATACGGCTGCCTGATCCCAACTAGGCAGTGCCTGTGCTACGGTAACCAGACTGCTGATAAACAATCTTATATTTATCTAAATACATATATTATATATTATGTATTAATTTTGTCCATGTTATCTTGAGAACTATCTATTACGAATAAGTATAAAAATCTTTGGTCAAAGTATCGAGATTTTTCGAATTGATCGAACTTGTTCGCCATTGATGTAAGTGTCGATTGTTTCCCGGATTAGAAATTTGAACGCACCTCCTTCTGTAGAGGAGTCATCTCATACTTGTGAATTACATAATAACACTTTGCTTGTCCTTAAAATTTTCCTTAATATTTTAATATTTAACAAAAGTAAAATTTTCCCTCATACTTTTTGAAATAGCCATTTTAACAAAGTAAATATAAATAAATTAAGCAATTTTAAACTCTCTCCTGTAAAATTGCTGATTTGCAGATCCTACATGTTTAATAAGGATATGCGACTTCATACGGCCGGCTATTAGACGACTTGACAAATAGATACTATCTACCGCGTACAAAAAGCAAGTGATTAAGTATATACTTGCCATAGTTTCGTCGTGCAGTAAAGTAGTAGGTAGGTAGGTAGAACATAATGTATGAATAACTTGCGACATGGGGTTTTGGCAAGTATATTTTCCTTAGACGGCAAAATTTGCCGAAGATGGACCAACCAATTGACCCACTTTTCTACTAAGAGAAACAAACAAATAAGAAATTTATAATGGAATACAATATTTTGGTCTTTGATAACAAAATTTAGTACTAAAGTTTTATATAACACGAATCGTGTTACCTTTAAGTGATTTAAGCATGTTATTCGTTGCTGATTTTACAATAGTACGAACTGCAGAATCCTTTGTATTCTCTATAATAATTGTTCATGCTATGTACACATTATACAAGTAGATATCATTAAGCGACTTTTTCGTTGTGTAATATTTAATACGTAGTAATAAAGTCGCAAGTGTACTTGAAGTCAAAATACCAGGCAAGAATTTGCAATGGGAATAATGTAACCGACAAGGAACTCGGGTGTGTTTATTTATTTCGGTGTAGAGAGGCGCGCGTGGTGTTCCTCTGATCCTTTTAGGCTCGCTTCTGTTGCCTTCCAAAGAACAAACCACGGCGTCCGATGCGACGACCAACAGTTGCACGCATAAAGCGGTAAACGCGACATGATGTAGTCCCTGGCACGGGGAGTGTGGCCTAACGGCTACGAGAGAGCGATTTACTGGCGGCGGTCAATGCCGAACACCGGCAACGTTGAGCGTTGGTCTTCTTCTAGATATGACACTGGCCAAGAGGAGAAAACCTCTATAAAAAACCACAATGGTAGGGTGGCCTAGGCCGCATACCAAGAGTTATATCTAAACATGTCCCTCCCCCCCTTTTTTACGTGTGGAAACCCTCTCGGGCCGTCACCCCACCGGGATTTGAGGCGGGGTGGTGTGTCGGTTTCGGACCGACTAAAAACACACGGTGTGCCATTCTGCGCCTGTAACAGGAGGGATCCGGGAACTGCTGTTATTAAGACATCCGGTCCCCTCCTAGCGCCTGCCCGCAATGGCGCGGGAGGGGAAAACCCATTTATCAATGGCCCCACCTTCGGGTACATTCTCTATTTAGGCGATGTACGGCACAGTCAACCAGCGGCTACACTCACGGCGGCATGAGGCGGTGCCCGGTTCTCCAGCGACGAATTGGCTCCGAGTGGACGTTGCCCTCCCGAGCCCTCTCCGCCGCCTCCTTCTGCGAGATGACGTCTTCGCAGAAGGATGCGACTGCGGTGATCTCTGTCATTACCGGCCATGGAGCGTATGACGGCTTATGTAAGCCCGTCAAATTGAAAGCGTGTGCTGAGCGTAGCCCTTACTGCGATCGCAGTGGTGACATGCGGGACTCAATTCGCTCCTAGCGACTATGCATTTACTTCCCGAAGCAGCCGTGCCCGGAAAGGACCTGTGTCAGCCGGAAGGAAAGGGTCCAGTGCTGCCGCCGGCAATGCTAGCACCGCTCGGAACTCAGCCGTCTGCCGATATACTTCGACGAGTATCTTATTATATAGGTAAGATGATTCTTGATATTTAACAATACTAGACATAAGGCATGCTAGATGAAGTTTCCGCCTTGTTTTCATTTTCATCGTGAAATTTTTATTATGGAAAAGGGTTACATGGCTCCGTGGAGGTATCATAAAGGAGAACCGTGCCCAAGCATTTTTCACTCTCTGAATCATCCTATCAGGGTTCAGGCCCAGATAAAGTTCGACGGGAGGTGGCTCTTTGACGATCACTGCCGACGGAGAGAAAATGATTTTTTATAGTGAAAATGACGAATTTGTTAATTATTTTTATAGGATATTATACTATCTTGTTCAATGTATCAAACAACAATTTATGTGGATCGGTGATTTTTTCGAAGAAAGTTTGTTCGTGAACGGAGGATTCCCTGATGTTCGTTTTCAGTCTCGTTAGTTCAGTGACCAGTTCTAATAAAATCTATATGTCATACATACATACAACTCTTCAACGATTAGTTTGATAACACTGGGTACAAAATAAACTCCTCTTTCCTCTTTACTAACTACTTAGAACACACTAGTCTGATGTACGAAATATTTGCAACATATTACTCGTAGTAGTAGGTACTATGTAGTAGGATTTTTGCAGATATGGGGATTATGAGGTAATATAATTTGATAAAGATTGTTTGTACTACTGATACTTGATTTAATACAAACGCAAAGCTAATTCAAAAAGTGCACAAGACCAATGTTTTATGCCTAAGCGCCCAGTTTGTTGAAGCCGTTTATGGACGAAAAGCCTACTGTCATAATGAATGAACCCAGTTGTAAACAGAGTAATTAAATGTCAATGTCAAAGAAGTCAAACGAAACACTGAAAAATTTCAGACTTGAGCTCTTTCAAGATAGCTTTAAATTTAATTAATAATATCTAATTAAAGCACAAAATTTAAAAACTGTGTTGTGTTATCTAAAAACATGGAGCTTCCATACGAGGTATGTTTTTCTTTTAGCCAATTTACACTTTTAAACTCAGAAATTGGATTCTTTTCCTGTTTCTTTGTTAGCTTTTTATATCATTTTTTCACGTGATTTTCGATAACGTAAGTATTTTTCATTGTTTCTTGTTTACATAACATTCGACTAAACTGAAATAATTCTTGGACCTGTAAATACAAAGAGTTATAGTGTTTTGTTTTGGGTAAATATTGTAATATAAATATAAAAATTTAAATAAAACTTAAATATCTCTTTCAGGTGTTAGTTTATCTCTTTCAATATCTACCTAAATCTGATAGAAAAGCTGCAAGTGAGACTTGCCGATCATGGTACTTAGCTGCAAACGATCAAAGTTTTTTAAGAAAAAAGGCAGCTATATTTTACAAATCAGTATTAAATGACGAATCATCGTCGCCACTACAAATCTTTGAAAATTCACCGATAATATATAGCAATTACTTATTTAGTGAAGTAGAAATATCAAGCAAACAAAATGAATTTTGGAATAAACTAGGAGAGCATATTAGAAGCTTGACTTTTCGAAATTGCGATATTTGTGAGAATACATTTGTTTATGTATTGCAAAAGTGTACAAATCTGGAAATTTTAAATGTACAAAGTTGTAAAGATTTATTTATGTCTGGACGGTTACTAGAAGGTAAAACAGAAGGTCTTTTAAATGAAAACTTAGAAAATTTAAAAGCTTTGGGCTTATCCGGTAATCAGTTTTTAACTGATGCACTCTTTAATAGATTTGTATCAGCAGCACCTGCTTTAGAGGAATTTAACTTATCAGCATGCTCTCTACAATTCCATGGTGGTTTAGTTAAAAAATTCTATCCTCCTACTACTGATGTCTTTCAAAACCCGTCAGAGAGTGTTATAACATTTTACTATATATTACAGTTTATAAAAGCTAGAGCTAGCAATATAAAACGGTTGTATTTTTCAAATACTCTCATTGATGGTACAGCACTTAAGTCTTTATCAGAAATAGATAATTTACAGCTGGAATCACTTGAAGTACATTCCTGTGATCAACTTACCAATACAGGCCTACTTGCTCTAACTAATCATCAATCATCCTTGAGGGAACTCGATATAGGGTTGTGCACTCGTGTGACAGACCAGTCACTTGTACATATATGTAAAAACCTAGTCAATTTAGAATACCTTAATATTCAGAGATGTCGAGCTGTAACAGACTTGGGGATAACTGAATTGCATAAGCTAAAGAAATTGAGGTCACTGAATATTTCCCAATGTGAGCTATTAACAAAAGAGGGTGTCAAAAATGGTATTTGTGCTGAGGAAAATAACACCTTAGAGGAATTGGACATAAATTCCCTAAATATAGATCAATCAGGACTGATAATGATTTCAGAGCAACTTCCAAAGTTGCGCATATTAAACTTGAGCTACTGCTTCAATGCTGTCACAGACACTTCTATACAAGTAATATTTAAGAATCAACTATACCTTCAAGTATTAAAAATGAGCCATTGTGATAAGGTATCGGATGCGGGTTTAACTGGTATGGGTAAGGTTGAATCAGAAGAGGGTGTGAATGGTCCAATTATGTCAAATTACAATGAAACTCAAATGCCAGGAAAGATTTATCTCGGTTCCAGAGCTGAAGAAGAAATAGTTCGTGATGCTAGAAGAAAACGAGATGTCATGCTTATGTGTGAGAAATTAACAATGGATTCATACTCAGGTTATTCCTTAGCTCGTTTGAAACATATTAAGGAGTTGGACTTGAGTGGATGTAATAGGATAACAGATGTAAGCTTGACCTATGCATTCAACTTCAAGGAACTGGTCAATATGAACTTAAGTAAATGCCAACAAATTACTCACAGAGGTCTGGAACATTTAGTAAGGACTTGTCCAAGTATTGAATACTTCAACCTCATAGATTGCTACAATTTAAAAGATGAAGCTGCAGATGAAATAGTCAAATATTTAAGAAGATTAAAGCACCTTGAACTGAGGGTAATTAAATAAGATTTCTTAAATTAAGAGTTTAACTTTATAAATAATAACAAAGGTGTACTACTTTTATATTTTGCTGACTTAGTGACTAGATCGAAAAGATCAAATATGTATAAATTATTAAACTGCATAAAAAATATTTTTGACTTAAATATTCTACTATCACAAAATAATTAAGCCATAGCAACAATGTTGATAATTCCATTTATTGACGAACATATTTTACATTTCAGGGGTGTAATCAACTTACGGATCGGACACTAGAGGCAGTAAAAAAACACTGCGATAAACTTCAATATTTGGATGTGCAAGGTTGCCGCAACATGTCGCCAGAACTTGCCTGTACCATTGGCTCATTGCCCACACTCCATACTGTTTTAATGTCGAAGCCTGGTCCGTACATTGCAGATGGAAAAAAACAAAGAGAGCCGGCCCCAGCGTTCTTGCCCGCGTTAATGAGAAAGTTACGTTTACATTAATCAATATAATACACCAGTTTCCTACTTCAAGAGTTTATGATATTTACTTATTGCAATTTTTTCATAGAAAAAGTGGTAGGTACATATTTTTTTCACATTATATTGGCCTTTAAGGTGATCATGTTATATATTGAATGAATTGTTCATGTTGATTATGTTTATGATAAGGTTTATATCTTAGTATTAGTCTGTAGTATATTATAGCTGTCGTATCCGTGGGGTGACGGAGTGTAAAAGATTGTTGAAGAACTATATTAGACTAGAAATACAAATTTAATAAGTATGTATTACATACCCTTATTTTGCTTTACGTTTCGACCAGATGGCAACTGGCTGTGGTCACGGGGATTACTGCGATTTCCATTGCGCGCATGGTAACCGCCCGGGGCCTCGCTCATGCAGGGGCCTCGCGCCCTCGCTCTACAATCCAACTAGAAAAATATGTTTATTTGCATTTCGCGCCGTAGGCCTCGTATAAAAGTCATGTCTCGTCAAGATGTTACGTTCGGGGAATTTCCTGTTTCATTTTGCCTGTTATTTTGACAGACTGTCAGTGTCGATTGTCGTCAGCTGTAGATGTGTTTATTGTTTTTTGCATGTTTTATTTAAAATATCATCATTATAACTAATTCCACAAAGACAAGGGCCTCTCAATTACCTAACTTTTTTTACGTGTGGAACCCACCTCGATCCCTTACTCCAACGGATCACCGGGTCACCGAATCGCACTACGCATCGCATCGACTAAAATTACACGGTGTACCACTCTGCGCCTGAAATAGGAGGGATCCGAGAACAGTCGTTATTAAGACATCCAGACCCCTTTGCAGTTGGCCCCTGTAGAGGGGGAAACTCGTCCCGTCCACCCGCGGTCACATTCAGTCCGTCCGTCCGTCACGTCAGTAACAGATTACGCCCAGCCCGGGGGAGGGGGGGGTTAGTCCTAGAAGAGACCAGTCGTACCCTATGTTCTACAGGAGGGACCCAAGAACAGACTCCAGTGGAAAAGCCGCACGACATGGGCCGACGTCTCAGATATCCATCTCAATCCTCGTACATGACGTTATGCTCCTCTAAATAGCCTGCCACTAGCCGTCTCAGGTACTCTCGCACCCCGTGATAGTGAAGTGCTACCCTGATGCAACTGAATGGTAGGCTATTGAATGCATTGGCCTTTGCCAACAGCACGCCGCCACAGCTCACGGCCTTTTCGGTCATGGTCCTCATTCGCAACACAGTACCGACAGTCGAACGCCCGACTCGGAAGCCAAGCCCCAGCTTCCAGCACTCAGGGAAGCGTACGGTAGCCAAGCTAGCGTCGCACACCTCCTTAAGGCGGTGTGACGCGTGGTTGAGGGCCAGTGATCCCGTTTGGCTTAGAGGCGGTGTTCTTGGAATGGATCTGTAGATCCTCAACCGCTTCCTGCAGGAAGCTCGGATATAAAGATGATCCGAGAGTTTATTTTCAATTGGTGGAGCTTCTGTTCAAAAGAGGCCCACCGAGGCCCGCCCTCCTCTACGGTCTCACTCCTTGCGTCTTCCGTTGCCTTGGAATTATCTATCTGACCGAGGCTTCGCAAGGCCGCCACTATATATTATATCATCATCATCAGCCTATCGCAGTCTACGGCTGGACATAGGCCTCTCACACACATATAGTACACATATAGTATTAATGTATTGATATATGTTGATGGGAATTGATTTGAACACATTATTTTTGTATTTCTTACTAGTTTAGCTAAATCTTGACCGTTAATGACATTAGGGGCCGAGACGTGGACTCTCACCGTTGGACTGGTCCACAAGTTTAAAGTCACTCAACGTGCTATATAGATGGATAAAATTCGTAACGAAATTATTCGACAGAGAACTAGAGTAACCGACATCGCACGGACAATCAGTACGCTGAAGTGCAAGTTGCCGGTCATGTCTTCAGACGGACTAATGATCGGAGTGGAGACCGCGATCATGCAAACGTAGTGTAGGGTGCTCTGCGGCACGATGGACCGACAATTTGAAGAAAATGGTTGGCATCGTATAGATGCGGATTGCCCAAGATCGGGATAGTTGGCGCTCCTTGGCTAGAGCCCTTCGTTCAGCAGTGAACGGCGATAGGTTCTTTGAGAAAGGTCTTTGAGACATATATCTGACTATTTTCCAACTAGTCTCATGTCTCAATTTTTTTAATTTTATATAATTATAAAACTTGTACCTAAGTCATATAGTAAATTTTTATAATATACTTCAAACAGTCATTCATACCTACAGAGTCTCTGCACCAAATTAAATTGTTCTCTATCTCTTTATCCTAAAAATTAAATTGTGGGCTTACGTCAGTCACAAATGATTATATATTAATTATTGTTTTCATTAAAATGTTTATGTTTCTTAACATTTTATTACTTAAGTCAGATTTATATTTGTTATACCAAAACATCTTGCGTAACTAATGCTATAGATTAATAGAATTAATTTGAAACAACTTCTTTTTGTAACTCAAGATTTTCGTCGCCTTTTTTTGACAATATCTTATTTTTATCTCCTACATTTAAAATCGCATTTGGTTATGTATGCGAATAGTCACGCGATGATAAAATATTCGCCAACATAATTTAATGTTACGAACTAGAACCTAGTACATAATTAAATACGTATGTGATGTGTTCCACCTTATCTATAACTCCCTATCCTGACAATTCTCTTTTCCATGTCTTAAATTTACACTTATTATTCAGTGTCATAAATATGTATACTAATAATACCAGCATATATTCAGTCAAAAAAGTATCTGGAATAGATGATTTATTTATGGTAGCAAAGTCAAATTTTTGTTTTTTTTTATTGTTGTTAGATTGGCACCACTGTTTTCCATTTTGGCGCGCAGTTTGTGTTGCATCTGTTATTTATATTAAATACAGTGCTGTTTTTAGTTATATCATATCTAGTGTGTATTGCGAATTTCATAATGGACAAAAACATCGAACAAAGAGTTTGTCTTAAATTGTGCATCGCCAATGCAATTTCGTGTTCGGAGTCACTGAACATGTTATAGAGGGCTTAGGGTGAATCGACTTTATCGAAAACACGTGCTTATGAGTAGTACAAAGCGTTCAAAAGTGGTTGAGATGTGATGAAAGATTTGCTTCGCTCTGGTAGTCAACGTCATCAACGTCTGCAACTAAAGTTAACATCGCAAAAGTGAAGGAAATAGTTACTGAAAATCCTCATTCAACTTTGACAGAGATAACCACCGAACTTTCTGTATCTCACGAGTCGATCCGTACCATTTTAACTAATCATTTGGGTATGAAACATGTTACCGCTCGGCTAGTCCCAAAAGACCTGAATTTTCTCCAAAACCTCAATCGCATGAGAGTCGCTGAGGACATGTTAGAACGAGTCAATTCCAACCCATCATTCATGAAACGCATTGTTACTGGTGACGAGACGAGGGTTTACGAGTTTGACAGGCAAACTAGTCAACAAGCTTCGGAGTGGCGCCTTCCAACTGAACCGAAACCGACAGTCGATCAAAAGTCAAAGTCATGTTGACTGTTTTCTTTGACTGTGCACTAGTCATGTTGACTGTGCACTCGGAATTCTTGCCGGAAGGTCAAACGATAAATAAAGAATATTATTTGAGCGTTCTGCGGCATTTAAATTAGCAAATTCGACGAAAAAGGCCAGATTTGTGGAAAGAAAATTCTTGGATTTTGCACCAAGATAATGCACCTTAGCACAAGGCCATCATTGTGAACGAATTTTTGACCAAACACCCAACAAAAACCATCGTGCAAATTCGCAAAATCGGCTGGAGCCATATCTGGTGAATATGGTGGCATATTCACCAGATATGGCTCCAGCCGAATTTGCGGCGAGAACTGAACTCAATTCCGGAAACAGCGTTTAAAAAATGTTTTGATGATTGGATTATTCGTTGGCGTAGGTGTATCGTTTCTAATAGGGCACGCCTCTGGCGCCCTCAGAGGGTAATGGCGGTCAGAGCCATACGCGGTTACCGCACCGTGTCGACGGAGGTGGCGTGCGCATTGGCCGGAACTCCCCCGTGGGATTTGGAGGCGGAAGTGCTCGCCGAAGTTTATCGGCGAGTGGCTGACTCCCGGGCGGAGAGCGGATTTCACCCCCCGCCCGAGGATGTGCGCGAGTGGCGCGAAGCCGCTCGCCAAACCACGATGGCTCGTTGGTCGTTCCGGCTAGAGACTCCACGCGCTGGCTTCGCCGCCGTGGAGGCTCTCCAGCCGGTCATCGCCGAGTGGGCAGGGCGGCAGCACGGGACCCTTACCTTCCGGCTGACGCAGGTGCTTTCCGGGCACGGTTGCTTCGGAAAGTACCTGCACTCGGTCGCTAGGAGGGAACTGAGTCCCGCCTGCCACCACTGCGACTGCAGTGAGGACTCGGCCCAGCACACGCTGGCGGTCTGCCCCGCATGGGCGACGCAGCGCCGGGCCCTCACTGCAGTCATCGGAGTGGATCTCTCGCTACCGGCCGTAATACGCTCCATGGCCGGTAGCGAGAGATCCTTCGTTCCTCCGCGTTCGCAACCTTCTGCGAGGAAGTAATCTCGCAGGAGGAGGCGGCGGAGAAGGCCCGGGAGGACGACCTCCACTCGGACCCGATCCGCCGCCGGCGAACCGGGCGGCGGAGGCGCGCCTATCACCGCCTCATGCCGCCCTGAGTGTGGCCGCGGGTGGACGGGGTGGGTTTCCCCTCCACCCGCATTAGTTTGGCCAGCCGCGAGGGGGCGGCGTCCGCGTATGCCGGACGTCGCCTAAAGAGAGGAACAATTTTGAGACGGGGCCCGCAACTGGAGCGGGCCGGCGCTAGGAGGGGTCCGGATGTCTTAATAACAGCTGTTCCCGGATCCCTCCTATTACAGGCGCAGAGTGGCACACCGTGTGGTTTTAGTCGGTCCGAGTCCGACACACCACCCCGCCGCAAACCCCGGTGGGGTGACGGTCCGAGGGGATTTCCACACG